TTGCCTCATTCTAACTCCCACATCCTTTCACTCTGGATCTGAGCCCAGTTTCACAACCTAAATGAGACTTGTCTAATGACTGATGATATGACTTAGAAGGCTAACTCATTCTAGAAGGCAGAACTAATTCTGTACATGATTTAATATACACCGAGTACGTTTCGATGAGTCTTAAAGAATCTGAGCAGGAATAAATCTAATAATAGTGAATGGTAGTACCTTACTTAAATACGACTTATTTTACAAATCTTTTATATTCTGTTTCTTAAAAGTCAGATAAAGGTCAAAATAGATGGGAAAATGTGCTAAGAATAAACCTAGCTCAGCTCTGTGTAGATAGATTTGTGTAAAAAGCAACAATTTTAGACAAAAAAAGTGAGACCCTTGAAATTGACATAATACTTCTTACAAGACCCAACTACATCCAATGTTTTGAAAACAAGAAGGATTTACAACACACTAGCACAAAAACCTCTTGTCTCCTAATAAACAGATACCTACAGTCAGGGAGATAGAAGAACTTGGCACTTATGAATGCAAACCCAGGAACTCAAAATACTCACATGAATCATTTTCATTTCCTACCTTGCTTCTAAAGAAGCAAGATGAATTTTACATTCTTTGGTTCTCACAGAGATAGAGGTCAATACCAAAGAAAAAACTTAACATAATGTTAAGTCCTTATGCTTCAAGCAAGTGCTTGTGTTTTTTTCATTTATTGTGGTAACGAAGTAAACAGAGCAGAATACAGAAGAGTAAGTATACCTCACAATTATGTACTAATACATGCATGAGTAAATTAATTTGTTAAAATCAGCCAGAATATATGGGATATTTTATTATTTCTACTTTTAAGAAGTAAACTTATTTTTATATTCAATTTTTAATAAAAAAAAAAGAATCAAGGTCAGAGTACTGGCCAAGTCAGACATCATAAAAATGCACAACAATCAAACTGACAGGTGTGCACTGGGGAACTGCAGGCACTTTTGATTAGAATCAACTTTGACCTTTTTGCCTGATCAGAGATGGGCACAAATAAGTTAGGCATGAGGGAAGTCAAAACTGGCATAAAACTGCCCCAACAGGGCTGTCTATAATGGGTGGTGGTAAACCCTTTCAACCATGTCTTTTTCTTGGGGAGGTGGAAATGCCAGGAGGTAAATAAAGAATGGGATGCTCAGCAAGCTCAGTATATACCCTTTTCAATCTCACAAGAATAGGAGCCCAGAGTGACACCATCATAGAACACATGCCACTCCTGCATGAACTGCAATAAGAACCAGTTTCTGAAGGCAATTTTAGCAAATATTTTTCACTTGAAAGTTCAACATATCAGACTAATCTCAGTTTCGCTGAAGGAAAAAAATATTAAAATCAAAATCTAAATATAATTTTAGTGTTGTATCAAGTGTATCCAGATCAGGTTAGTGCAAAAGAAGCCTATAGAGAAGTTATGTTAACTCTGAAGCATATACGAGGTATTTGGTAGCAACTGAATGAATAATAAAGCTACCAAGCATCAAGATTTTCAAAAGGAATTTCAAAACTAAGGGATGCTGATTTTTTTTCCCCATGAGTATTGCTAGAAAAATTCTAGAAGTGCTTAGGTACTTTCAAATTTCAAGTATCTCATTTATTTATATGTTAGGAATGTATTATTTCTCTATCAGAGACTCAACTTGTTCTCTTAAAATATGTGACAAAGGTAGAGACTCAACTTGTTCTCTTAAAATATGTGACAAAGGTTTCATTGTATTCTTTTAAATATTTATTCATATCTTTTATTGTGACAAGGTTTCAAATTCACTATGTGGCTGAGGATGACCTTGAATTTCTGATCCTCTGCCTTTACTTTCAGAGGGCTGAGATTACAGGTTTGTGCCACCATGCCTCATTTATTCAGCACTGGGGATCAAACCTGGGATATGTTAAGCAAACACTCCAACAAATGAACTACATCTCCAGCCCTCACTATATTCTTTTCAAACAGAATATTTTATGATCAAGAATAAATATATCTAACAATATACACCTATGTGCCCACTGTCAAATTTAAGAAATTAAACTCTGCTGATATGATAAAAACCCTTGGTGGCTTCTCTCCTACATTCTCCTTCTCCACAGTAACAGCTGCCTCCATTTCTTGTTGACCATTTTCATGCGTGTTAATACTTCCTGCACAGCTCTATGTATCCACAACAGCAGCAGCACTCTATCCTTTAAGACTTCAAACCACTTCCCATTACAGTTGGCACAAACAATGGCAAAGCTACATTTCTAGTGACTGTGCATGGAATGCAGGCTTTAAATATTTTTTAAAGTCTTGGAGCTGCGGTTTAGCTTGTTCAATTTATGGAAAATATAACCATGTAACTTAATTGGCAAAGCTCGTCCTCATTGTCAAACCCAGTCAGCCAAATCTGACTTACTCCCTGTCAGAAAAAGTCTGGTTTAATTTTAAAATTCAGATAAATGTGTTATTATGCATCCCCATGACAACTTTCACACTTCTGAATTTTAATTTTAAGATAATAAATGGATAGCTAGCTAGCTAGCTAGGTAGACAGAAAAGCTCCAAGTCATGGAGTCTGGTCACGAGTTTGTAGCCCGGATAAAAATCATGTGCTGCCACTGTGATAATTTTTATTGAACTGTTCTCTCTGCCTTGCTTTTAAGGAGCTCTCCCTCAGGTAAGATGCATTCTTCAAAAGTCTCTGTGGTACCCTGGAGATTTTTAAATCCCAAAGCAAGGCAGGCACCATAGTAAGGTTTGGTATGGACAAAGGGTAAGTTTTTCTTTTTGAAGTTCGACAGTTTTAATAGTAATTTTTTAAAAAGTCAGGTGACAACTGGCAGACCAGAAGGAATTCTTAGACCTCTTTTTTTTTCTTTTAAAAAAAAGACTGCATATGCAGAGAGAATATGGAAATTAATTTGCTTAAAGCTTTTTAACCTAAGCATCCTACAGGAAGTCTCTGCATACCCTGAAGTGTGTCAAAGGGTCCCAAAACCACTGATCAGTGGCAGAGTTGGCAAACTAGGTTCCATCAACCTATTGCTCTTCAGTCTCAAGTTTTATTGGAAACAATCACACTCATTAGGCGAGTATGACAGAAAAATGAATAAGCCTTAATTCCTGTGCTACTTTTCTTACAATGCCAATAAGAAAGATTAATAAAACAATTTGAACACACAATTCCAAGGGTTATCCACGTGTCCAAGGCAGTGCAGTTATATCGAGAAAGGACATATTAGGTCTATGACTGAAGTAGTTGAGAAAAACATTGATGGAAACATAGGATTTGAATGAGCCATTTGAAAAGAATTAAACACAAGCAGAGTATGCTTGCCAGCTGATGGGAAAGAGCAAAAAACATTAAACCTAAGAAACAGCAGGGAGTTCCTCTAAGTGTGGGTAGAATAGTATAACGGGGTGAGGTGATAGAATCAGGAAGCCTTGGAAGGAACTGGACCTTCCATTGGCCAGAGCTTTAGAAGAAGTGACTAGAAATTGGTCCCTTCATCCTTCAAATTAGCCAGGAGAGAAGCTGTTAAGTCATGGGGCAGGAGTTTTTAACAAACTGCCAGGTTTCAAACACATTCCATTTCACTCCACCTACCATGTGAAAGGTGCTCCAGTTACAGTTGTTGTCAATCTTACATTTTAGCCATTTTCATGTGGCATGGCTGTTCTTTACTGTGACCCTGAGTACTAGAGGAAATTGGGTATCTTCTTCTACACATAGTGGCCACTTTTGTATTAAATAAAGGGCTCCTCTAAGGTCTGCACAATTTTTATTAACTTTGACTTTTTTGAAAATTATTGAGATGTGCTTTATATAACCTGGATACAATTGTTTTGCCAGACACACAATATTCTTTTATCCCATTGATCCCAATAAGCATTAGTTTTCATTTGGATTTAGTCTAATTTATCAATACATTTCCTTTATGGATAGTGTATTCTGTCCCCTATCTATTCCAAAGATATTCCATTACATTTTCATGTAGAAGAATTATAGTTTTGGTTATTATGTTAAGTTTAGATTCCCCTTGAATATTTGTGTATGATGTGAAGCTAGGAACAAGGTTCTTTTCTTACTAGTGAATATTGCTATTTTAGCATCATTTGTTAAGAAATGTTTTCCTGTTCATAACTGTTTTTTTGATACTATTGCTGAAGAACAGTTACTATTAATGTCTTATTTTTGGATTCCCCATTTTTCCTTTTCATCTTTTCAGACAGGATCTCATGTAGCCAAGTGGGATATCAACCCCTAACTCCCACCCCTGCCAAGGCTCAAGGAATGTCCTGGAAAAGGAGGTGGAAAGAATGTAACTGGAGGACGGGAAGGAGTGCTGTGAAATGCCATCTTGTGGACATGATATGAGTATTACACTCATGAACTCACAGCAGCTGTAGTCACCTGCACAAGACCAAGCCAGTCAAATAAGGCTGAGGTGCTCTCCAGACCCCACCCCTCACTGACTATTGGCACTTGATAGCTGCTGGGAGAGGGAGAATCACTCTTTCTGAGGATGTTCCCACTGGTAAGTTTCCCATGCTTCAGTCACTGTCCTCATACTCAAGCACATGTGGGCAGCACTAATTGGACTTAGTGAAAAAAAAAGATATAAAGTTGGGGGGCATGATGGGGAATGTGAGAGGAGTTGGAGGAGAGACATGTGGGTGGATATGATAATATTTCATTAAATACATGTATGAAGTTCTCAAGAATAAAGAAAAGTTATAATTAAAAATTAAAAGTATATGTATTTTATGATAAAGTATTTTATTAATGCACATGTTAATATATTGTAATAACATACTATTTTATTAGAAATATCTGAGTTATTTTTATTGAGTAAAATTAGTACTTTGGGAAAATGCACTATATTTTTTGCTAAGGATTTATATATCCTTGGTAGTACAAACTCTCATTTGAGAAATACATTATAAACACATGCTGTTTGAATATTTTCCTGTGTACTCTTACCTCCATAGTAGGTGGAGTCTTTCTTGTTCTTCTAATCCATGCTAGAAAGGAAAATAACATTTAAATGTTAGCTTTCCATAATTTACATAAACTCAAAAAATTTACATTTATTTCTTTATGTATTTTGGGGGTACACCATAGTGTGCATGTGGAGGTCAGAGGACAACTTGTAGAAGTTGGTTCTCTCCCTCTTCTACTATGTGGGTTCTGGGGATCAAACTCAGGTCCTTCCATTTGATGCCAAGAGCTTTTACTCACTGAGCCATCTTGCCAGCCCCACAGAAACATTTTATTCAATTCTGCCTATAAGATATTTTAGCATCTATAATATATGGTTTTAAATAGTGGAGCTGTAGCAAGGAATGTGCAGATGAAATACCTCATCACCTACAGCATGCACCCTAGTGAGGGGAGAACAGGAAATGAACATAGCAGTATATTGTCAGGCGGTGAGCTGCAGCATGAAAAAAATACAAGGGCATAGGGATGACAGTTTCCCACCCTCAAAATCACAGCTCATAATCATTTCAATTCAATTTAGTCTATTTATGGCATAAAGGACAAATCACAATAAAGTAAACTTGAAGGCAATGTCAAAATTATATTATTCTGAAGATTTGAATTCATAACTGTCCAATTTATCAAGGTCTTAGGAAAGTTTTTATTATAGATATTTTTCTTCTGATGTGATCCAGCAAGCAGCTGCCTCCTATGGCTGCAGATACCATCAGGCCTTCACTTTAACACACAGGAGACAAGCTACAGAGGTAGAACACAGTCTGCTGAGTGCCTACTTGGTACCACACTGTGTTAGATGCTTTACAACAAAGGGAAGGGGCTGGGGCAGATGCCTCTGGGGAAGTTACTCAATGAGGTTCTAAAGTCAGATTTTCTGGGTTCTACTTTCAACTCCTAGTTGTGTTACCTGGGACAAGTTATTTAATTTTCTAAGCATCAAAATTTCCATCTGTAAAAAGTAAATTCTAATAGTACCTACAGTGTATGGCTGTGATAAATATGTAATGAATATTCCGTAGGTATAATGAAAACCATTGTTTTCTCATTTTAGTTGACTTGATCTTCTTTATAAACCCATGAAGTTTTCTTATTTCATGGGAAATTCAATAATTCTCCAGTTTATGCATTAAATGATAATGTTGGGGTTTGAATGATCTGACCCTGTCTCTAGCTCTAAAACCAACCATGCTTTACTAAGCAGTCTGTTAAACTTTAGTGAGCAGCATAAAAGCACACTAAGCTAGGAGTAAGATTAGGCACAACCCTAACAATGTCAGGAAAGAAAAATTATTGACCTCATTTTATACTTTGGGGAATTGAGGCTCGGACAGATTAAGTAGTATGCCTATGGCCATATAATTCGTGAGTAGCAGACTAGAAATCAAATCATGGTGAACTGGCGGCCAAGTCAGAGCTCTGTCTGCTGACTAGCTACCCTCTCTTCAAATCAGCTTTACCAACTTGCCTTTTAACATCCAAATAAGATCCTCAGGACCTACCTTCCTGCAAAGTCTAGCTCTGCGTGGTGTGCGTTTGGAAACTGAAACACTCAACTAGAGGCCTGGGATTACCGCATCTTGCTCTGCAATCCTGCACCGACCACATACGTATATCTTCACCATGTCCCCATATTTAACATTTTCTACTCTGTTTCTGAACTTCTACTTATTCTTCTCTGCAGTCTCTTTTTATTACCTTTAATGCCTCTTTGGCCCATTTGTGGCCAAAACTTGCACTGATCTTCCATGACTATAAGGTTGCCAAGGTCAGGATCCACCAATGGGAAATTTATCTTTCTATCACCTAAATGCCTTGAGAAAGCAGGAACTTAATACTCGTTGAATAAATACACACACTATAAAGTATTCACTATAATAGGATTCCTGTCTAATTAGAAAAATCAACTTAGTAATATTAAAACTCCTCAATGTAGTCAAGGAAATCAGTGATTTACAGCATTTTCAGCTGATTCTTTATGTTCAAAACAAGATATTTATATTTACAGCCCCCCACCCCCAGGAAAGAGACTTACTTTAAAATAATTCGTATGAGTTCTATGTCTCTAAAAAGTTTTAAGCAGTAATTCCAGTTTTAATTTAGATTAGAAAGTTAGTTCAGAATAATCAGCTGCTAGGGCAGGGTTCAGCAAATTTGAGCCTCCAAACCACACTCAGTCTATTGCTTGTTTTTACATCTTTTAAGTGGCTGAAAAAAAAAAAAAACAAACCAAAAGATGCATATTTCATAACATGAAAATAACAAGTAATTCAAATTTTCGGTGTCTGTAAATAAAATTTTATCAAAACACAGTCACACTGATTTGTGTCTATGGCTACAGTGACAGAATTGAGCAGCTGTTAAGTCCCAAGTGAACCACAAAGCCTAAAATACTCTCTGGGTCTTTAAAAGAAAATGTGCCAACCCCTAGGCCAGGGCTATCATTTAGGGCAACTTCCTTAGCAACAAGTGTACATCTTGATGCGAAACCACTCCCATAATGCCTAAAATAAAGTCATTATTTGTCACCACATGTTTTACTAATGATTGCCATACATTCTAGAGTCTACAAATATATACCAGTGGGTATGAGATTGTGATGAAAAAAATTCAGTGGCATAATACACACCAACATGATGAGAAAACTCCACAAAATAACTATTTGTTTTACTGATGAGCCCATAAAACAGCACTTTCAGGGTGGACAGATGGTGCGGGGGGGGGGGGGAGTTAAGCGCACTTGCTGCTTTTGTGGAGGACCAGGGTTTGGTTCCCAGCACTCACATGGTTGTTAAAAACTGTTTGGAACTCCAGTTCCAGGGAATCCAATGCCCTCTTCTAGTCTCCATGGGCACTGCACACACATGATGTACTATGTACATGCAGGCAAAGTACTCACACACATAAAATAAAAATAAATAAAATATTTTTAAAATACAAAAAAATCCCCAGAATTTTCAGATTTCTTCTGAGATTGGAAA